GGTAGTATCTGTACACTGTGATAAGTGTTAGGTAGTCACAGTGTTAGAAAGATATAGGCAGATCATTCATAATAAGGTTGTTCAGGATCAGACACAAAATGGAGTATTGCTACCATATCAGGGCTAGAGCTGGCCAATTCTCTCTTTCTATCCTTGACAAAGTTTAAAAGTATTTACATGGCTTTCTAGGTGATGAATTATTTTCCACCCTACAACCCCTTTCCTCACAGATGAAATATTGCAAGCCTCTTTCTACTCTATCACTATTTCCATGGAAAATGTTCAAACAAGCTACATTCCTTAGTTCCACCAGTTCAGCCCTTTACAGCTAACAACTCCCATGCCATGTACACAGGGGCAAACTAACCTCATTCCTTTTGTATTCCATTAATAAGTTCTATTCAAACAGATTCTTCCAAAGAGTCACTGCTTTGTGGAAATGACTGCTGAGAGGACAGTTCCCAGATCACTAGAATCTTAAACTTTTCATGTCCAGAGTTAACCATTAACTAATCTATTGTATATATCCTCATAATCTGCATTTCTTACCCGCTTCCTTTTACGGCAATAAAACAGCCACAATCAGTAACCATCTACCTTGAGTGGCTTTGTATTGGGTAAACAATAGCATTGAAAATATTAAGCCATTGATTTTTAGCCAATGATTTATGCAATTATTATGCCAAATAAGAAAACAATAATATTTAATCCCATCTCATGGGTTATAATTCTAATCTTACTTTTATACTGTATTTCCAGATGTAACAAATTTTCTTAGATTTAGATGATATTCAAATTGATATTCAACATTCTGAACCTGAATAGAAATAGTACTAGTTGATTTATTACCTACTTTCAATAACTAATAACCTAAGAAGAGTGACCTACAGGTCAAATTGTAGCAATAAATGAAAATTAATTTTGACCTACTTTTCATATATTAATAGCATTAATTTAAATAATTAAATTGATACATTTGCTCTTATAGACCTGTTTGCAAAATATTTAGTTTTCAAAATTGCTAATAAACTTTTTACCTTTTTAAAAATGTGCAAGTACTTGTGTAAGTAATATGTGAAGAAAAAACAACTTTAAACAGATGCACACATGTGCAATTAATTGTACAGGGTGTGGCAGAAATATCTCCTACATACAGGTAATATATTAGCTAAAGACACCATTGCTCCCTAATGTCTTTCCATTATGTGGGAGGTATTTCTACTACACACTGTACAATGCATTAGCCATCCCCAAAACTTTTTAATACTTTTAATAACTAATTTTTCTCTTGTACAAATCACAAAGCCACTCTATAAACAGGAAACAATATGAAAGTGAGAAAGTTGTGCATTGTAAGCTAAACCAGAATTCCATGAGCAATGTTTCTACTTTTTACAGCTGTTGTTTGACCAGACTACAAAGTTGCTATTGTTATATAGAAACTAAGCTGTTATGAAAGGACAATCGATGAAATATTATAGCTACTTGTGTTACCTGTCATATGACAATATTTTAATATTGGGAGTATACTTTTGCTAGTGTGAGTAATAACAGGTTTTTGTCATTTTTGGTCATCCACACTTCTGATGCTCTACGTGACACTCATAAATATAAACCCTTTCTTTGTATATGGATAATGAAAGTTGATGCAATATCTATTTGACCTTTAGATAGAATTTATTATTCATTATACTTTAAGTAAACAGTGATTTTCTTTTCTTCAAAATTGAATTAATAAACTAATTTCTGTAATGGCTACTCTATTTTTGGAAGATTTTTAATTATCTTATAATTCTGCTCATCACTAACCTTAGTTAGCATGATTGTTATGCCCTGAAAATACCTCATAAATAATGGACTATTCCATTTTGATTGTATGGAAACACAGAAAAGACATATCAGAGATGCTACATGGTTTCAGTGAGAAAATGAACGAAAGGAGGTAAAATAGAAGTGTGTAATTTCTGTTTCGGTGAAATGGAAAAAGTTGTCAATGTCATTTCTTTCATTTGTACCTGTCTTACATCTTAGAATGACCAGCATTCGTATTTATGATTGTTATTACAATATTTTGTTAAAGTTGTTAAATATTTAACAATGCAATAAGGGAATTTCTATGTATATTTTATTGTTGTAGAACTTGCCATGAGCTTATTTAATTAAGAATTATTATTCATCAGAAAATTAAAATAGGAAAACCATGAAATTTTAATGGGTTATTCTAATATAATTTAAAATTTCCTGTTGGCAAACATCAACCATAACATAAAAGTAATTTTAGGAAATCAAGATTGACATTAAAACAGTTTAAAACCGGATTTATGTTTTAAACTATTTTTTATTTTTTACCACTAACCTCATAGCATTCTCTTGCAATTAAAACTTTTCAAAAGATATTCAAATTATTGCAATATATTTTAATATTTTTATTTAAAAATAAAATACATGATAACTGCTACAATTTGTAATATTTTGTGCCTAGCTAATTGAAAGAAACCACATAAATTATACCTTTTAAATTATATTCATATTTTAGGGTTATGTATACAAAATATGAAAGGTACTTAGTTTTTTGGATAGGAACAAATACACAGAGCATGGTATGTTTTATATGTTAAGAAGCAATGAACAACTCAAACAGTGCAGAATGGATATTACTGAACTCTATATTTTTCTAATATATATATATATATATATATATATATATATATATATATATGCACACACTCTAGCTAATAAATGTGTGAGAATGTACGAAACTTTTACTTGTGGGTGGCCATTGTTCATCAGGAATTTATTTAGAAATATTAAGACTTTGTCAGTTATTATGGCATTTAGCAGTTTTTCTCCAGTGTGTGTGTATATATATATATATATATATATATATATATATATATATATATATATAGTTAAGTAACAAAAATCTGGGTAATCCCAAGGAGGATGAAATCCTGAGAGATCAATGTTAAGTCGGAGCTAATAATTTAATTTAAAGGAAAACGGACCACTTTAAAGCTCCATTAGCCTTAAAGTGGTCTGTTTTTCTTTAAATTAAAATATGTGTGTGTGATGTTTAATTTATAAATTAAGCACAATGAAATATTAACACCAATTAATAATAAAATATGCCAACTATATCAATATTAACATAGTTTTTTTGTATTTTTTAATGCCATGTCTCTTCAGGACATTGTGGTAATGGCTCTTCACAGACTCCTTTATTATTTGTGAATTTCCATGACTTCTTGGGAAATATAATGGAGTAGTTTTAAATTGCCTTTCTTTTTAAAATGCTATATCCCTTCAGGACGCAAGCAGTCATGCCACTCCAGATTCCTTTCCTTTATTATCTGTGAATTGCTATAACTTCTTGGGAAAGACAACAGTGTTATCTTTGCCCCCTGTTTCGAATTCAGAGTAGTTCTTCTCCTAGACTTTGCTGACACCCAAAGCTAGAGAGCCCAGTCTATTTTGCTATTTAACCCATAGATGATGTACATTGTCTGAATTTACTTAATATTCATTAATAACCATCATGCTATATTCACAAACATAATACCCATAAAAATTCACAGGATTATTTACATATGAATTGGCACTTTTGCCTAGGCCAGTGTGTAGTAACTGTTCTTTTTCTGTTGAGTGTTCTGCTCTATAGTGCAGGACATCTGTGCCATGTTTCGGCTTTCAAAGAGTTCATAGCATAGTAATTAGCAACCTAAGCATAAGGTTTTTTTTCCTCCCCTTAAGTCGAGAACTTGCATCTTTTTTTCTTAAAAGAAGCACTTTGACTCCTGTTTGACATATCTGAATTGTCAGCATCACTACTTTAGAGCTTTGTGACCATTATTAATTAAAATTTGAATTATTCTTTGGTTGACCACAGGTAACTGAAAACATAACGAATAAGTGGATAAAAGGAGATCATTGTACAGTCTGAATAAAGGGATCAATAGTTATTTTTTTTGTCATGAGATGAAATAAATAAAAAAATCTTTAGAGATCTATGTATTCAAGAACGTAAAGGTACTTTACATCAATCATAGGTTGAGAAAAAAGTCTAAAATCGAAAAAGGCCCATTTACATGGGAGAATATCTGCTAGATTTTTGGGAATAATTAATAAATTTTGGGTAAAATTAGTTTAGTGATTGATTTTGCTTGTTTTTTTTTTTGTTTTTTTTATACTCGTTTTTAAATTGTTTTGTCCTTAATTTCTTTGTTTTATTCATTTATTTTGTCTCGTCACTTACAGTAGAATTTTAAAATGAAACGGCTTCTCTGCGTCAGTAATAAGAACTGGAAAACAATTCTACAAAGACTAAAAAAAGAAACAATAATTGTGCTAGCAACTGCTCCAGGAATATTTATCAAAAATAAGATACAAAAAAAACTTAGTACAAATTTATTGTTTGAGAATAAAATAATTTCTTGATAATAATAAAAGTTTAACCCCCTTTTAATTTGTTCTTATAAGGAATCTAACTTTTACTTTTATTGAAGCTGCTTTGATTTAACGCGCAAGCCCGCGATAAAAGTATGTCTTTATTTGTACTAGTGAAAACTTTTTTATCTAACAAGGTAGGACATAAAACATTGTTTTCTTTAATAGCAACTTTTATTTATTTATTTTTTTGACGCGGACACATTCGCATTTTATTTTACTTTTTTAATTATCGTGATCGCTTTCATCATGTCTTTTAGTTTTGTTGTTTTTGTTTTGTCTACGTACGTTTTTCGTTTTGTCATTTTTTTTACCCCTTCTCTTTTTTACCCCTTCTCTTTTTTCCCCCCTGTTAATGGGCAAGTGTTAAAAAGAAATAGTATTTTTTAACACATCTTACAAATTCAGGTCTTGATCTTTTTAAGCTTATAATTAATTAAGCCACAAATTAATTAAACTTTATACTAGTCACTTGACAATTTACCTCTTCTCTCTCTTTATAATTCCTTTCTAAGCATTTCTTGTTTTGTTTTTTGTTTTTTTTTTCCTTCTAACAGTTGTTCCAACACCAACTGGCCGCGAAGCATCCTTCTTATTATTCAACGACGAGACTTGGTCGTAACCTGAAAGATCGCTGTACAAAGATTGACAATGACAGAAACGACTTGCAGACAATGTTAGATCAGCTGAAAAATAAATGGAACTTAGTTCGATCTGTGGTTTCTAAAAGGTAAGGAAATTATTTTTTTTTTTTTTTTTTTTTTTTTTTTTTTTAATCTTTTAAAGATTAATCATTTTACGTAAGGTTCACTGCACAAGTCTTCTGTTTTTGTTTTTTGTTTTGTTTTTTTAAGTAGTAACTAAGAAGAGTAATTTGCTCTTTAAGTCCCGCGCTAAGTATATAATAAAAATTTCCCGAATAGTTACAGTTAAGAGTAAATGTATAAGCTTAATTCGAAAATTACAAAGAAATTTTGATAAAATATATCGTTTTGGAGTTATCAACAATAAAATTTCGGACTCATTCGCGTTACGTCAGGCAGCCATTACTGGCTGTTTGTATACATTCACTGCTAATTAGATTTGCACGGAAAAATACCTTGTCAACGGCCTTTTTACTGCTCTTACTTGTCTCTATTACTACGCAACCGAGGACTCATTACGTGCGCAATCATCAAATCAAGTGAATGTTAATTCCGCAGCAAATATATGCAAACAACGTCAGTAATGTCTCCGCGACGCGAATGAGTCCGAACTTTTATTGTTGTTATCAACAATAAACGTTATCAACGTTTGGGGCTGTGGAGTAGACCGGCAATAGAAGTGGGTGATTTGGGGCTGTGGAGTAGACCGGCAATAGAAGTGGGTGATTTGGGGCTGTGGAGTAGACCGGCAATAGAAGTGGGTGAGTTGGGGCTGTGGAGTAGACCGGCAATAGAAGTGGGTGATTTGGGGCTGTGGAGTAGACCGGCAATAGAAGTGGGTGATTTGGGGCTGTGGAGTAGACCGGCAATAGAAGTGGGTGATTTGGGGCTGTGGAGTAGACCGGCAATAGAAGTGGGTGATTTGGGGCTGTGGAGTAGACCGGCAATAGAAGTGGGTGATTTGGGGCTGTGGAGTAGACCGGCAATAGAAGTGGGTGATTTGGGGCGGAAAGTATGCTAGCCTAGGTACCACCAAAAACCAAAATGGATGCGTTTTTTACCGAAGTGAGATAAAAAAAAATCGTTATATTATTTAAATAAAATAATTACCAAAAATCAGGGAATCATTCGATTCAAACGCAATTTTCAGAATTTATTCATTAATGAATAAATTGTATGTATACTGAGCAGGTTATTTTATTAAAAAACTTTATGGAAATACTGTAGGGAGATCTGTTTCACTTCGCCCCTTTTTCAATATCTCGTGGGTACTTTTTAATTTGGCTGGTGTTCGTGAAATTTTTATATTTATAAAGAAAATCTATGAAGATGTTCGCTAATGAAGAAATAATTCAAATTTACTGATCACTCACCATGAAAATTTTAAGCTATGATCTTCTCCTTCAAATTATTAGTTTCTTTTCCTTCCTTAAAATATAACTTTGCTCAAAAATGATAGGTCGGCATAATTAATAATTTTTATTTTTTTAAAAAATTGTGCCCAGCAACACCGTCGCAGCCTAACGATTACAAATAATTTATTAATTATGCACAACAAAAATTCATTTTTCAATTTTTCTTTGTCAATGCATTAGTGAGTTTACGAAAAATCTGTTCTTACGAAGGTAAGTATTAATGGGTCAAATAAAATGTTTTTATATTTACTTCCTGATAAAAATATTTAATCAGATCAAAAACCTATGATATCAATAACTGACTGGTTGGGGGGGGTGTCATAAAAGAAAAGTCATAATACAATTTGTCATCGGAAAAATAACTTCGGTTTGTGGACAGAAAGAGATATTGAAAAATAAATTTTTCACTTAAAATACTAATAAGCAATATTTTAAATAAATTTATAATTAAAGTAAGTAAATAAATAAATATTTTAATAAACTAGATATGGCACCTTTATTAAATAAAAAAAAAGTGATTTTATTGCAAACATATGAATTGAGTTGTCTTTTTCTGCGTGAGCATGACAATGTCTTAAAAAAGATTACTAAATGTAGGCATCTAAAAAACAAAAAGTGATATTTGAGGAAGATTTAAAATGATTTATATTTTAATTAATTTGGATTAAAATAAATATTACTTTTAGTTTAAAATATCGCAAAAAAAGCACTTTTTAACACGGAGATGGATTTTTTTTATGAGGTGTTGACAGATTTATCGATAGCTTCTTAATGTTTGGCAAATTTAAGAAAAGGGTACATAACTGTAAAAATTACTCGAATACAACGTGAACGCCGTTTTTATATAATTTTTTTAACTATCTAGTAGCCTTAAAAATTGTAGAAAATATTCTATGTAAATCTAATATTTTAAGTATTTTGGCTTTACGAAGTAGCTTGTTAAGGAAACATTTGAAAATTACCAATAAATTTTAAATTTACTATAGTTACAGCTCTTATTTTTTTGGTAATGTCGTGTATCGATGTCCGTACTTACAAAATTCGGCACGTTTATACGCACATAAAAATAAATTCAAAATTCTTTTTTAAACATTGGGGGTCGCTGAATTGTAGCAAGCTTGTCTATTTATAACCGCTACAAATTAATACAGAATTTTAAACAACTTAAAACTTTATAAATTATTATAATTATTTTTTTTTTAAATTAATTATTCATCGAAAATGCTTTTTTTTTCTTAAGACAATATTGTCTATAATATATCTTATACAATCAGTTAAAAGCTTTTATAATTAAATAACGTCTTATTACATTTTTTTTTTAATTTTATTATTCAGAGTAGATTTTCTGTAACTGGGGGTCTACTTTTGATAAAAAGAATTTGATAATTGAAATTCTCCGAGAACTTGTCTTTATAATTAATTTCAACATTAAGCTCTACAACAATGAACTTCTCGAAATTTCAAATTAAATGAGTTTATGGCAACAATTTTTTTAAAAAACGAATTTCTAAAAATAGAAACTCTTCTAAAATAATTCATTTATGAATAAGTTCTGAAAGTTACATTTAAAATCCAACAATTATCTGATTTTTACAAGAATTTCCAAATCAATTTGTTTTCACAGGAAAAAGACGCTCAAATTTCCCATACTAATTTATGGTCCCCGTTGACACAAGAAAAAAAACATTTTTATCCAAAATTTCGAACGTTCTAAAACTACGTTTCTGAGGAAGGGCATAATGGCCAAAATGTCGTGATAACAAAAGATGAGGACACTGGTCTGAATATAAATAGTGTAAATAATTCTAGAAAGGATATATATATATATATATATATATATATATATATATATATATATATATATATATATAAATTTAATAACGAAATAAAATCCTTTGATATTTCTCTCTTAATAACAAATATTTTGACGATAAAACTGTTTTTTTTTTTTAATTTTGGAGCACTTTTTTCATCATATATGTATATTTTTAGCGAATCTTTGGCGGTACCGATATAAATGAAATAATATTTATTTTGGCTATATTTTGTTTATTAAAATTTTACTTTCATTACTAAATTGAATTCGACTATTATCGCTGTAGTTTATTTACTGGGTGCGCCAAGGAATTAAGAACAAATTATAAAGAAAAGATATTCAATAGAAAGTTCAGTATATTAAAAAAAAAATAACAGTATAAACGTTCAACAAAAAAAAAAAAAAAAAAACTGGGAAAAGTCATTCAATAAAACTACCCTCAGTATAGAGGATAACATTGACGCGGCCTTGGAAGCGAATGCATGCTTAGATCATGTGGTTCACGTTAATATTGTCCAACACGTCCATGCTGGTAGCCTTCAACGAGATCGCTGGTTGGTCTCTTTCTCCACATTGTCCCCGATGTAGTCCATGGGATTCAAATCAAGAAAGTTAGGACACTAAATGCTGTGGGTGAAATAGTCGTGAAAATTCTTGGCTGGAACACGTACGGTCATCCTCTCGATCCAGAGCTTGATTACTGTGACCATCATCTCAATTATAGTCAATAGTTTGTTCAAGCAGCGAACTAGATATACATTCATTATCAGGCTATGGAAAAGAGAGGTGAATTAAAGTTTTACTTCTTAGTTGACTTGGTCATACCTTTACAGTGACTAGGACATGAACGGCGAGAGAAAATAGAGGAAAAAATTATGTTACGCAAATACTTGCTTTCCACCATAATCTTTGCCAATGCACTTAATTTCTGTAATGTTAGGTTTATTGAAACTGATAATGGAATGCGTTATTCTAAATAAATCTTATTTCAAACTCAGTAAAATTGTGTGCGTGTGTGTACAGTAAATGTCGCAAGCACGTGTCACCCATGCACAATACACTTGCAAAGTCGCACGCAGACAATGCGTGATAAACAGAGAATCGGCTTTTCTTTTAAATATTTCCTTATTTATTAATCACTGCATTATCTGTCTATATTTCTGAGATGAGGCATTATGTACACTATTTAAATTGCTCGGACTATCATCCTCATCTTTGTTGCCATATTTATTACAACGTTTCGGCCGTTAGCAACAAAGTTGAGGATGATAGTCTGAGCAATGTAAATTTAAGGGTAACCACTGCATGTACTTGATAACTGCGCTAGTTTCAATAAATCTACTTCACAATGAAGTGTCTTTGCAGCATTTGATTACTTTGCTAAAAATCAAGAATGTAACTTGTGCGTGTGTGTTTAAAAGTAAAACACACGCGTGCACACACACGGCTCAACATTCTATTTGCGGAGAGTCCTATAAGAAGATATTTTGGTTGGTTCCTTAAACAATTTTATATACTGTCAGTGTCTGGTTATTTGTTTTAGTGAAAGTTCTTAAAAACTACTTCTTCACTTTAAGACCGTGGGAAATTATGGGGCACATAATGAGGAAAAAATACTTGGAAAATTTGTCACTCACAGGACATATTGAAAGTAAGAGAGATTAAAAAAAAAAAAAAAAAAAAGGGTAACTGTAAAAATGGATTACGGAGCAGTGTGAGAGGAATAATAAAAAAAAAAAAAAGACAAGAATATCTAAGAGCTGCAAAGGATAAAAAGTTGTGGAGAGCCATGATCGCCCATGTCCCGAGGGATCACGGCACATAGAAGATTATTCTCTTAAATAAACCTAATCAC